ACTGCTGGTGGGAATGCAAACTAGTACAACCACTATGGAAAACTGTTTGGAGGTTCCTCAAACTGCTAAACATGGAGCTTCCCTACGACCCAAGCAATCCCAAAAGACACAAAAACACTGATTGAAAAAGATACCTGCACCCCCATGTTTATTGCTGCTTTAATTACAACAGGAAAGACATGGAATCAACCCAAATGCCCAAAAGTGAATGACTGGATTAAAAAGATGTGGTACATATACACAATGGAATATTACTCAGCAATCAAAAAAGATAAACACATGCCTTTTACAGCAACATGGATGGTGTTGGAAGGGATCAGTAAAATAAGCCAGAAAGAAAAAGAAAAATACTGGATGGTTTCACTCATAGCAGAAACATAAAGGACCAGGGGGAAAAAAATAATAATAATAATGAACAACTATATACCAGAGACATTTACAGGGGTGGATGGGGAATGGGGTCAAAAATGGGGTGGGGGAAGTGATTGGACTATGGTGATGGCACAGGGGTGATTTGGTGATGGGAAGCCCACAGGGACTACAAATGAGATGGGAAAATACATAAAATGATGTAAAAATAAACATATTAAAAAATAAATTTCTCTTTTCTTTAAGAGTTCTAGATTTCAGGTTAAAACACAGCACTATGAAGCTAGCTGCAGCTACTGCAGCACAAGTTCATTCCCCAGCCAGGGACCTGACCCACATGGCGCAGCAGACCTCTCCTGTCTCACCTGCTGCTCCCCCTCAGCAGTGTATTTCATTACATCAACCTGTTCTACTCCCCACTCTATCTCTGGTGAATCCTCTCAACCCCTGCATACTCAGGCCAGTTCTTGTATGCATAAATAAATAAAAATAAATCATTCCAAAAAATAGTATAAACCAAATTGAGTTTGAAAGACCTACAATTTCATGGCTCTTAATATTTTATATTAGAATTTGCTATCTTTCATTTCCCTTCCCAACCTGAGCAATAATTGAAATACTCTTTTTGGTTTCTCAGTGATTTAGAATTATAATCTTTACCTGGAAAGAATCCATACAGACAGGACTGGAAGCCAGCTCCTCATCTACTGCATGCAACTTCTCCATGAAAGTACTGTCCCTGGTCTGTTTGGGCTTTGGAGGGGGCGGGGGCCCCATGGGCACTACCTCAGCACTGATGTGCCTGACAGCAGGTGTAGTAACTTTCTCAGCCTGATGAAAAGAAGCAACTATGTTTAAAAATGAAAGGAAGAAAGAGAGGAGAAAAAGAAGACAGGACTCCCTGTGGCCTAAGGGTTATGTCTCAGAACTATCACTGCTACCAATGGAGTTCCATCCCCCACCAGGGAGCTAACCCACACATGGCACAGCAGACCACTCTTGTCTTGCCCCTTGCACCCCTTAGCAGTGGGTAAATCTGCCTATTATGCTCCCCACTCTGTCTCTGGTGAATCTTCCCACCACCCCCCACCTCTGGCCTACACTTCAGTTTTTCTACACAAAAATAAAATAAATTTAAAAAGAAAAAGAGGGAAGAAAGAAGCGGGCCTTTCATATAAGAGTGACCTTTCTCTTCTCATTTAGATACAAGTCTATAAAAACAAAACCACTGTCAAATACATTGATCTAACTAGGTTTCATCCCATTTCTAATGAAGCCAATAGAACATTACTTACATTATCGAAAATGGGACCACTTTAGGAAAATATTAGAAGGGCAGAACCAAAAAATTAAACACCACTAATCATTCATTTTTGGTCACTTAGTCAGAAAATAATGGGTTGATTACCAACCCTGAATTTCGCAAAGGGTGTTTAGCAAAGATTGACAGCCCAGAGTCACCATGAATAAAAAAATCTACTTATAAAATAATCTTTAACTTAACTCTTTTGGGTGATACAGATTTACCTCTGACAATATGCCACTCTCCTCATCAGTTTCAGTCATCTCAGAAGACTGCCTCAGTCTGGATTTCTTTGACCCACGTGGAGATGAGGCAGTGCTTTCAACATCACTTTCCAATAAACTCTACAAAACAAATCCAGTATACTTTCATATTTCTTCCCTTAACTCCACTTTAGTTTGCATTAGCTTAAGAAATGAACCATAAATTATCACTCAGTCAGAGTAAGAGAATTGTAAGGCAGTGATTTAAAATTCATTTATAAACAAGTCAAAGAACACATTTTAAAAGAATATTATACAACAAGAAAATGAACAAACTACAGTTATAAGTTACAGTGTAACTAAATGACAAAGGCACAAAATTGAATCTAAGGAATGCCAGGCAGAAAAATCCATTCATATAAGGTTTAAAACATTAAAAAATTGAACTGTAGTGTATAGAGATACATATTTATATTATGAAACTACAAAGAAAAGCAAGGAAATAGTTACCAAAAAGTCAAGATAGTAGATAGTAGTTACCTTTAGGAAGAGAGAAGTGTTTGTGATAAGGACGGGGATATAAGGGATTTTCTGACAATGTTATTTATATTTAACAACTGGGGAAGGAATTTCATGAGAATTTGCTTTGTAATTATTTAAGTTGTGCTTTGTAATTATCTCTCTAAGCACAGGTATGCACATTATGTGTGTTTTATAATACAAAATATGAAAATTTTAGAATTATGAAAGGCAGAAAAAATACTCAATCTTGGTTTTATGCAAAGAAGAAGTAGAAAAAGAACTGTCTCGTCACTACCTAAAGAACAGGTGACATTAGTAAGGAAACAAAGTATACCCTACCTTGTTGAGCTAAACTTTTTCTACATTGCCAATCAACTAACACACCGAAGCATAACCACTGACCTCTTCAGCGGTCTCATCTTCTTCCTCATCATCTGGTTGGTACTCTTCATCTGAGGAATCATCTTCTTCCAGATGGATATCCACAAACTGAGGAGGCTATAAGTACAATTATAGAAAAAAATAGAGTAATGGAAAACACAAATCACATGTATTTAGAAAATAAGGGGAAGAAAGAAGAGTGGGGGGAAATTTTTTCTAAGAACAGTGAGCAGCTAAAACAAGAAGTAAGACAGGGGAGTCCTAAAATGAGGTGAAACCAAAGGATAATGGAATGGGCGGGGGAGGGGGGGAGCTGGGATTAAAATAAATTAGGTCCCAAAAAAGGGTAGCATATAAAAGCAACTGTTACGGTTTCAAACCTAATGAAATCTTTTCTGGAAAAAAGTAAGAATTACTGCTTTCAGATTTACCTTAACTTCATTGGCCTTCTTAATTGGTGAAATATTCCATGTTGGAATTACCTACCAATGAAAAATTGTAAGTAAGTTCTCTTAAATGAAATACTTTCATTTTTACCTCCTCTTTCCTCTCACAAAGAATCATATACCTAACATAAAGCTGCAGTGTTCTAGGAGTAGTGATTATCCATGCTAGTATAACTTTTAAATATCTGTCAGGAGAAAATAGTGCTATTTCTACCATTAGCACTTCTGCCTTAAACTTAGCAAGACTGTATTATCTATAAATGGAGAAAATAACATCTATCTTGTCTAGTTTATACCACAGCTCGTGTTTACACAGAATATATGTGAAAACTATTTGTAAAATGCAAAAGTATACAAACCTAAGATAGTTATAGTAGCCTTCTGATCGGTATTCTTTAGAAATGAATGACATAAATCTACCCTATGCCTTAAAAAGCCATAAAAAGCCATAAAAAGTTCAAAAGGAAGGAGTTTGGAGTAAAATATCATGTTCCACAACTTATTTTCAAATAGCACAAGAAAAAAAAGCAACAGATCGATATAGAGAGAGGTACAGTAAGTATAACAATGTTACATTTGTTAATATAAGGAACGTAAATTATAAAAACTTTCAACTTATTTTATGTTTGATAACAAGAGAGTTAGAGAAAGTTTTTAAAATAATTTTGAAAGAATGCTTACATAATAACAGTGGCTAACAAAATGCCACTGGAATATATAATTTTTGACCAGTTAATTATGACCCAAACAAAATCATCTGTGAGCAAAATTCATAGGCCACCACACTAAGTTCTGTCTCTATGAAGGGGTCTTGGGTTCTCTACCTCACCTCAGTCCTGCCATGTTCCGGCCATTTATCTATCTCTGTGTAGCAGGTTGACTATAGGGGAAACAGCAGGCTGTGATTCAGTCTATACCCATTCCCATGTTTACTTCTGAATCTACTGCCAAATCCATCAGGAAAGGAAAGTGACATCTGGAAATGTGTTGGAGTCAGTATATTAAGAATTAAGTAGCAGGCCATGGGGATTGCAGCTGAGATGGAAAAAAGCACAACGTGATGTAAAAATAAACTATTATAATAAAAAAGTTATTTAAGAAAAAAAAAGAAGTAGCAGGGCCTCGCTGGTGGCCTAGGCGTTAAGTCTCAGTGCTATTACCACTAAAGCCTGAATTTAGTTCCCAGTCAGGGAGTTAACCCATATATGGTGCAGCAGACCTCTCCTATCTCACTCACTTTTCCCCTTAGCAATATATTTTGGTAAATCTACCTGTTCTGCTCCCCACTCTGTCTCTGGTGAATCCTCCCACCTTTTGCACCTCTGTCCTATACCCCAGTTCATAAATATAATAAATAAATCTTTTTGAGAAAGAGAGAATAGCTAGTAACCTAGACTGTAATCCTTTGCTTTCCCACAGAAACTATAGTCTTGGCCTATCCAACTTCTCTATACCTACATTCATAATCTAGACATTGACTTGGATTTCCTTGGGTGGTGGTGGTTGTATGTGTATGAGTATGATACAGATATGTAATCAAATACAGAATTAATGCTACTTATACTCTATTTTTCAAGTAGATTTCATAGAACTTCCATTGCACTGATAGCTATTCTCATCATTGTGATTACCTTCTGGAAAAAGTTAAAATCTCACTTTATGAAAACAAGGTTAGTCAACTAGATTTAAAAAAAAAAGAGTGGTACAGCTATCAAAAGAACTCTGACATAAAGCAATTCAAGGCCGCACTAAGAGAAATATGGTATCTGGAACACTGATGGGATAATCAAATATTAATCTGTGCTAGTTGAACTGCATCTGGAGCAGTGGATTACACTTTAGGTATATACACTTTACGTATATTTTTAAAAGGGTACGGACAAATGAGGCACATTCAGAAGAGAAGAATAAGACCAGTAAAGGTTCCCAAAGTCAAGTGGCATGAAGAACAATTTAAAAAACTGAAGGATGCCTAGCAAGTAAAGAATGCTATAAAAAGACCATGGGTTTTCTTCAACCAAAGAAAGGTTATGTGTGACTGATTTCTTCTATAGGGCTCCAAGGAACAGACTGAGATAAACATAACACTACATTATGTATTCTGGGTGCCTAAACTATTTGGTTCCTTCCTGTCAGAGACAGACTGGACTCCCTCAGGATTATCACCTGCCATGTCACAGGTAAGCACAAAATGAACAAGTACTTGTTAAACAGGATATAACATGGTTCCCAGCATCAAAAAACTTGCTAGACCAGAACCTTTCAGAAGTCTTCAAGTGGCTCTCATACTTCAGTGTGCAAAAGAATGAACTACTTTGTTCAACAATGCATATTCCCAGGCCATACCCATGGGTGCTGATTCCTAGGCTAAGGTGAACCTGAGAATGTGCATATTAAAAAAGCACTCCTAATAATAATGAACAGTCGTATACCAGAGACATTTTGTGGGGGTAGAGTGGGGAATGGGATCAAACGGTGGGGGGTGGAAGGAAGTGCACAGGACTATGGTGATGGCACATGGGTAACTCGGTGAGGGAAACTCATGGGGATTACAATTGAGATTAAAAAAAAAAAAGTACAAAATGATGTAAAAATAAACTATTATATTAAAAAAAAGCACTCCTGAGGGATCCTACACCAGAGTGATCTTGATACAAGTGGCCCCTTAGTATTGAAAAATACTAATCTAAACACTTGACCACATGTACTATACAGCATGAATGGAAAAACTGACCTTGTTCATTGCTTTCTACCACCCTGTAAGATTACCTAGCACTTAATAAAAAGTAGTACATACTACAAGTATCAACTAATATAAACTATGATAATGAGTTCATATATTCTTTCTACTTGTCTTTTACAAATTTCTATGAGGCAGGTCCACATCATAAATTTTTCCTGTATTTTTCCCCCCACAAATAACCAGGAATGAGATCTTATTTATCAAACTCAAAACAAAACCACAAAAAACCCACCACTCCTTTTTCCACGACTTCCTTCAATTTAGAGCGTGTCATTTTGGGCTCCTAAGGAGGGGGAAGTGAGAAGAAAACAGTCAATAAAATCATAGTGTTATTTTCCAGTTTTAAAGAGGTTAATTTTGTCCCCAATTATCAAACTATTTACAAACTCCCAACGACCTCCTACACTTTGCCAGTTTACAGACTGTTCTGTTCTATGACATCAGAAGAATGACAATTAACTACTCACAAACAGTGGCATATCTTCCGTCTCACTGATGGCTGCTTTCATCATTGCTACCACATGTTCATTTGTGATTACTTCCTGGAGAAAGAGGAAATCTCATTTTACGTAACAAGGATGTATCATCTAAATAGCACGCTCTATAATTCTGCTAAACATGATGTGGAAAATAAATGAGAGGTAGATACTCAGTTTCACAGTGGGGTAAAGCAGGCAATAGAATGTAGAAAGGCAAGTTTTGAAAAGTAGCACACAGCTTTAAACAACTCCCAGCAAATGAACCAATCTCATTAGCTACTATTAGAAATAAAAAGAGACCCTAAGGCAACTATTTGTGTAAGAGAAGCAGTAATAACAAAAGCTCTGTAAACAAGTGTTGCAACAGTATTAAAAAAAGAACAAAAAAAAACATCATTAGCACCGTACAAAGTACTATAAATTATTAACTGGCCATCTTTTTCAGACATTGAGAGGAAATCTTGACTTCTGTGAACAATCATCTTCTAATTTGCTAAGCAATACAATAAATTTAATCAGTGGAAGGAAACAGGGAAGAGTTTATCTTTCCAATTAAAGTTCTTCTTTAACACATGTTCATATTCTAAACTAGAAAAAGCTATCTCAAAATATAAAATGTTTCTCTAAAGACAGTTCACATAATTATTAAGTCACACACCAAGAGTCAAGAATTTCTTGAATATTTTTAATTTGCTTCCCATGAAAAATTACTCACATGAAGGATGTTTCGCACATTGACTGCTGTTAGGTTGTGCTGCTTGGCACCATCCTCTAAGGTACGGTCAAGCATATCATCCAGTTTCAGGTCATAAGTCAAAGTCCCTTCTTCTTGACCTCTTCCATCTCGTTTTCTCTTGGTACCCTTCTTCTTTTTCCGTCTCTTCTCACTTTCTTCACTGTCTTGTTCTTCTGCAAATAAACCAGGAACATTACCAGGATCTCTAAAACAAGTGCTCGAGGAACTTAGTCAAAAAGGGTATCTGTAAAAGAAAAGCAAGCTGCCGGCTATTACACCCAGGTAATCACAGGCAGTGGTGCAAGTATCTTCTACGTGCTTTACACATGTTAATTCATCTGGGTATTGTAACAACCCTAGGAGGGAAGAACTATAATTTTTCCCACTATACAGATAAAGAAACTGAGGTGGAGAGAATAAGAAATTTTCCTGGTGGTGATGGGAAACCCGCGGGGATTACATCGAGATGGAAAAAAAAAAATGTGCAAAATGATGTAAAAATAAACTTTGTAATAAAAAAAAAAAAAGAAATTTTCCTGGGAGCCAATAGTGACAGAGTCATGTCTTAAAGCCAAGTACTCTAGTTCTAGTATCTGCAGTGTTAATGACTTCTTACTAGGCCAATGACACATCAGAAATTCTGAGTTTGTGTCCAATTCTCCAACTTAACTTGACTACTATGACAATGGTATCTATCTCATTTCATCCTTTTTTTAATATATCTGCCCATCAGGAATGCCATACAGATTAAATGAAATAATATCTTTATCAGAGTGCTTTACAACCAATGAAATTTATATAAATAACTTATAGCTATTATACCATTTAGTCAAAAAAAAAAGTGGAAGAAGTTTTAATTCTGTTTTATACACATATCCTATCATGTTGTTACTAACACTGTTAACTGAAAAACTGACTCAAGAAAAGTTTGACTATTAGTATAGTGTCTGTTATACACAGTATACTAGTACAGTATTAATACTACACTAGAAATAACAGTTTATTAGTAACTAAAATTAGCGCCAAAATAAAATATTCTTTACAAAATTTTATCTATAAAATACACAGAAATGAAGACCAAAAAGTGAAATTTACAATGAAAGCAGGTAAAATTTTACATAGTCGAAGAATCACATTGCCTTGTAAAACAGTAATTCTAAAACTATCTGTGGGAAAGAAACAGTTTTGTTTTGGACTAGACTAATATGTTTATAAACTAAGAATGGGGCCCTCCCTGGTGGCTCAAATGGTTAAATCACAGCACTATGAAGCTATCTGCAGCCACTGCAGCATGAGTTCAATCCCTGGCCAGGGAGGTGACCCACATGGGTCACCCACAGCAGACCTCTCCTGTCTCTCCCACTGCTCCCTTCAGCAGTGTATTTCAGTAGTAGATCCGCCTGTTCTGTTTCCCACTCTGTCTCTGGTGAATCCACACATCCCCACAACTCTGGCCTGTACCCAAGTTCTTATATGCATAAATAAGTAAATCTTTAAGAAAAATAAACTAAAAATGTAGCCATAAATTCAAATGCTGTAACATTTCTAAGCTTTTCCATAAATGATTTTCTTTCAAACTAGTAACAAACAGTTCTCAAACTGGCACTGGCTTTCAGACCACTTTGAGTACTACTGCTCAAAGTGCTACTGAAAAATACTTAGTCCCAATAAAAATCCAGTCAAAAATGAATCCTGGGGGTGCAGGGATTAAAGACACAGCACTATCAAGCTATCAGCAGCCACTATGGCCTGAGTTCCATGCCTAGCCAGGGAGCTGACCCACATGGCACAGCAGACCTCTCCTGACCCGCCCACTGCTCCCCTCAGCAATGTGCTTTGACAATCTGCCTGTTCTATTCCCCACTCTTTCTCAGGTGAATCCTCTCACTGCCCCTGTACCTCTGGCCTGTATCCCAATCTGTATGCATAAATAAATAAAAATCATTTTTAAAAGAGGAAACATAGAAATAACTTAAATAACTTCAAGAAAATTCACCATAAACTAAAATGGAAATAAAATTCAATGAAGAAAATTTTTTACTGATGAAAAATCATTAGCATAATCTCAGTTGGAATGACTGTCTTATAAACATGAAATCAAAGCAATCACTGAGAGGCTCTATCATCTCAATACCTAAATGACATCAAACACATTTCTCTGATTCTGATGCTGAATTCATTAGGGTATATGTGCCTGTAAGGAAAATCTAATACATTCAAATTTCAGCATATATACAAACATCCAAAAAATAATGACAATTTAAGGCCCTCCTTGGTGGCGCAATAGGTTAAAAGTACAGCACCATGAAACTCTCCACAGCTGCATCACCAATTGTTCCATCCTCCAGCAGGAAGGGACCCACATAGTGCAGCAGACCTTTCCCGACCTGCCCGCTGCCCCCCTCAGCAGTGTACTTTGTCAATATGCCTGTTCTGCTCCCCACTCTGCCTCTGGTGAGTCCCCTCACCACTCCTCCACCTCTGGCTGCACCCCAGTTTTGTATGCATAACTAAATAAATCTTAAAAACAAAAAAGAATCCACAATAATGGTAAACATTTCATTCCAAAAAAAAAAAAGAATAACAATTTAACTATTTCTTATTCTGTTTTAGAACTAGTACTTTATATTACTTTAAAAATATTCATATACCCTACCCAAAAGACACAAAAACATTGATTGAAAAAGATACCTGCACCCCATGTTTATTGCTGCTTTATTTACAATTGGAAAAACATGGAAGCAGCCCAAATGCCCAAAAGTAGATGATTGGATAAAAAAGATGGGGTACACCCCATGTTTATTGCTGCTTTATTTACAATTGGAAA